ACTACTTAATAGACAAGGCATAGAAGAAGTATCTTAGTGGATCTCTGTGTTCAGGTGGGCAGCTGAGATAAAGACACACTGTTGAAAAATATCCTGATTTTCAGGCTCCTGCCATTTATTACTCACAGTCTTTCTCCAAGGTGTTTTCTCCAAGGTCACACAAAAAATCATCCAGGTCTCCTGAACGCTCCTCTAGTGATTTACCCACTTTTGCCACAGGGGTATCTTTCCTTGCACAAGTAAAAATTAGACCCTGGTCTTGGAGGCAAAACAAACTGTTCCAGTAACCAAAAAGATGTCAACACAGATGTTAAGAAAGAAGAAGAGATAGAGGGTGTTTGTTTCTGCTTTTACATCTAACAACTGCTGCGTTTGTGGTTCAGCTGAGCAGGAAGTTCTAGGAGGAGGAGACCCAAATGGTCTCCTACCTTTTGATAATGCTTTATACACAACAAGGCAGTTCTTAACTCTCCACAAGAACCCTGTGACAGGATTGCATTTCGCATAAGACTCGGAATGAAATTTAAATACTGCCAGGTTGCCATGGAGTGTTGGACCCCATGGCACTATAGCTGGTGGGGGAAGCTATGTGTTAAGAGATGCAATCAGAGATTGGAAGGGCACTGGATAGGAAGACAAATTGTATTCAGTATACAACTCTGACTTGAAGTGATTTTGCTAGGTTGCTGCTGGAAAGATTTTAGATTAGAGGGAAGACTGATAATGTAATTTGTCTTCTACCACAATGAGAGGAGGTGAGAGATGCCTTGGGGAGGTAAGGGGAAAGATGCCATGAACCTATTACAGGTTATTTTCTGAAAGGCACTGCAAACCACTTCTATTTACCCACAGCCTATTTCCCTGTGAAGAAGCAGTGCTGGCCAGCAGGGAAAGTGGTTGCAAAGTTTCAAGACAGGTTCCCTGGGCTGTACTCAGGCAAGATGTGAAGGCTCCGAGTTACTATCAGGATTACTCTATTCTTAGCATCCCAGCGTGTGTTCAGCCCCCACATACCACTATCTAAATATAGTCCCTACTGAAGGACAGATGCTGCCAAGTTGGATCTGACCCCTCCTCTTGCATTCTGTTCCTGAAAGCTAGGCTGAATTCCCCAAGACACGTCCAATAGTCAGCACGTCCTTTTGTCTCCCCAGGGCTGTGCAAGGAAACTTGTACTGTACTGTTAAAGCCTGATCCCAACCCTGGCCTTCCTGGCCTCTCCTAGCACTGGCCTTCCCTTTTTTTATTCCTTTCCTCCTCAGTTGTCACCTTCGCTCTTTTTCTTTTTTCCCCTCATTTGTTTCTGTCCTTCTCCTTCTGTCTGATTGCACATGATCAATGAGAGGAAGCAGGTAAAAAAAAAAACGTGCACATGTATGTGCGTGTACCTGGGTGCTGCAGACACCCAAACCTCTCTGCCAAGAGCTCTTTTGTCACTACAGAACTCCTGCTGAGAGGGCGGGAAGACAGACAATTTTTTGAGTAAATCTGTTCCAGTTTTTCACACTGATTTGTATTTCCAGTAGCATAAATCAGTAGGACTCTGAAATTAGGATTTCCTAAATCCATCTGATATCATAACAGGACATTCCTCCAATTAGTCAAGGTACGCCATGGGAGAGTGTATCTACTGAGGCACAGAGTGGAAAGTGTAACAGAGAGTTAGTTAACAAGAGGCTTACAGAATTTGTGGGGCTCCTCACACAAAAGGAGAGATCAGTCCTCGCCAGTATGTGCTAGAAGGTCAGACAGTGCAATCCCCCAGGGCCAGGTCTGGGGCCAGCCCTGACCACTTGTCAGAGTCCATCAGCCTCTCATGTGCACAAGAAAGCTCTCCAGATATCTGCTACAGGAAGCAGAGAGGTTTTCTCTTTGAAATGCCACTTTTTCCAGCCTTTCCCATACCTTTAGAACAGCTGTCTGGTGGCACCTTCCAACATACCTACAACCTAAGCAAGCTCCCTGTTAGTGACACTTCATGTGGCTCACTGGGTGCCCAGGAGAGGGCCTCTTTTAGATATGGAGAGCAAGTGGCTTGAGCCTGAGGGCAAACTGACCTTCAGGATGGGCAGCGAGCCTGGCTTTTGGACTAGGCAGCCACCCTGTCCCGGACCCTCAAAAGCTCAGTGCTGCCCTTGCTGTAAGCAAGGTGTGCAGGTTATGGGTTGTCATTACAGTCTCCACAGCACTGGGCTGGCAGGCATATAAAATCTGGCAGGCATGTCCTGGTCTCTGTCCAGAGGCTCTGCAGCCTCCGGCACACTGCACCCTGCTGTCATGGTTGTGGATTAAGTCCTGTCCTGTCCTTTCTGTTTGACGAGCTTTCTTCCTTCTCTCCATGCACAATCCTCTCTGCCTTCAACCTCTTTGCCTTCCTCCCTAGCAAATCAGTGGGGTAGGGATTTGGCATAAAAATTAAGCTGTGGATAGTTCATTTCCCTCTGACCCTGGGAAGCAAATTCATAAAAATTCCAGGGAGGGTTTATAAACCTATGGGAGACTGCGCCAGAAGAAATGTGCTATTTTCAGACTCACTAGGTCTCTTCCTGTGCCAAAAGAGACCTGGTCCTATTTTCCCAGAGAGGAATGGAGACAAGGAGAAGTCCTTCCTGGACTACAGAGCTAGTTTGCAGACTCTAGTTGCTTTAGTGCATGGGCTCTCTGTCACTCTGGTAAAATCTGAGCACAGACCAAGCCAGAGCCAGAATCCTCACCAACAACGAGAGAAAAGCTTTGCCTGCTCGTGATGCTCAGCCTGCATGGGACTGCTTGTGTCCCACCAGCCTGCTCTAATATAAAGGTACCTGAAACAGCAGCGGGCAGTGTTGGGACCACAGCCTGATCCTCCCTGTCTGGGAATACTGAACACTTGCCTGCAAAGTCTCGCATACTATGGGACCAGAGGATTGCAGGAAGCTTACTATTGCTGCTCTGGTTGGTCACCAGCCTACATCCAGTTGGTTTCAGTGAGCATGGAGGAATACGATCGGATGTGAGTAATGCTCTGAGCACCTGCTGACAGCCTTTAACCCCCAGTCCCCTCACTCCATAACTGGGAGACATACTCAGCAAGTATGTTCCTATCCAGTGCTAAGCACCAAGCACTTGGCCATGGAGCAGCAGTTGGCCTTTTGGGGAATACCAGGGGACACTTCTTCTAACCTCTCTTCAACTTCCTAACTCTCTTCTTTAGCCTCTGTGTCAGTAGACAGAACTGGAAAATGTGTTTGCTCTCCCTTCTCAGTTAACAGCTGCTCCTCAAGGGAGTATCAGGAAGCAGCATTTATATCGTAACAGCAGAAAAGTTGTTCTTCAGCAGTAGTTCATTACAGACCCACGCATTCTCATTCCAGGCTTATATTAACAAGGAGGGAGATAAAGGACTAAAATGACAGAGGCTGATGGATGTGGCAGCTGGGATGAGCCAGTCCCTATTTTAAGCATGCAGGCAAAATTTGGGGTCAAGCTGGAAAGGCTACAGAGTGATAAAATGCCAGTGAACACAAAAACAACTTGAAGGATAGCCCTCCTCTTTCCATCTTTTTCCCGAACACCTCTCAGTCCTGCTGACAGGCTGACCTGGGAGGAGTGCTGCTCTTGCCTGCACATGGGCCAGCAGGGTCGAGTTCTGGGTGCAAGCACACCACATGGGTGCAGAGGGCCTGGGCCCTGAGCCCAGTCAACCATGACATGGGACCTCCTTAGGGCTCCAGCCCTCTCCTTCCCTGCTCCCCTACTGCCCCTGCAAGAACAATGACAGGGCAGCAATCCTCCCACATCCACTTCTCTTTCATAAGGCTGCCATAGAAGTGTAGGCAACGTAAGTGAGACTGGTTGCTCCAGCACAAGGCTGTAAGATATGGGAGAAGGTGCCCTGCTTTGTTACCTCTCTGCAGGATCTGCCACAGTTCGTTCACTGCACCCTCTGTTAAACAGCTCTGCACTGATGTGTCTCTCACTTAACTTCAAGATTCAAAGAAATCTTCTAGAAGCATCTGCAAATCCAGTGTATTACTACCTTGGCCCTGACTTCCTCTGATCCATTTTTTCCTGAATATTCTTTTATGTGCAAAATCAGTCTATTATGGGTACCAAGCTGTCCTACAAGACTATCTCCATTGCTTGCCTATACGGGAGAGGTCTGTGGTTTTTGGCTGAATGGGCATTTGGTTTCCTTGCTTGTTTGACCTAACAGAAAGGCTAGGCTGTGTTGGTAAGAAGTTTAACTGATGGATGAGAGAAAAAAAGGGAGAGGAAACACTTGGTGTAAGATGGCCATGAGAGGCCAGATCTAGGAACTAGCCTGGAACTAGAGACTCCAACTCCATTCTCAGATATAGCAATGCATATCCTGCACAACTCCTGTTAAGGCTACAGATTTATTCCAAGTTTACACTTGTGTAACAGGACACCATATGGTCTGATGCAGATGTCCAGAAATACACTGGCCAAAGCCATTGGAACATGAATGCTTAACAGCATAAAGTGCCTCTTTCACGACAGAGCCACCATCTCTCCCCAGTGTCAGCTTCCATGAGGATGGTACCTGCAGGGGCTCTGCATGAGAGCCAGGGATCATACTGAGGAATCACAGTAGGGTCATGCAGAAGGACACACAGTCATGTACAGGCATAGTCTGGAAAGAGTTTCTGTTCCCTGTCTGAAATACAGACTCCCTAAGCAACTTAGGAGATAGGGAGCAAGAGGAGAAAAGCGTGTAGATGTTCTTGAGTCTTTCATCTGCCCTAAAGAAGTTGAACTGGGTTGGTGATCAGGTCAGGCCTATGCTCAGCAGAGATGTTCTTGGAATTAACAGGAATGCAGAGACCACAGCCAGGGCTCTGCAAGAGGACTAGTTCTCCACCCTGGCATGAAGTAGTCTTAGGCCTTATTTTATCCTGTCAGGGACAGAGCAATAGAAGGAACAGCAGGAGACAAACGACTGAACTAAATAGCTGCTGTTCTTTCCTTCATCTCTATCCTCTCTCCTGCTTTTCCAGATCCGAAAGAGAAGCAAAGCATGCCGTGGAGGCCTGTGGGAAAATGATGTGATAGTATCTATCAATGGGAAGTCATGTGCTGGCCTTTCCCATGCTAATGCCATGCAGATCATCGATTCTTCCAACGGCATGCTCAACATCCGTGTGAAAAGGTAACCTGCACCCAAGCACCAGTGCTGTGACAGCGCAGACAGCAGGGCAGCTTCATCCAGCACAGCAGCTCTCCACACTATCAGAAAGAAGGCAGGCAGGAAGCCTTTGGTTTTGCCATACTGCAAAGTGGGAGGACTAGGAGGACTTCTCCATGGCTAACGTGTGGCCATCTCAGTGTTTTGCCCTGTCTCTGTGCTGCTCTCCAGAGTGACTGGCTCTGGGGCTGAACTGACCCCAGGCACCCCCACCCCTCTGGCTGAAGGGAAATGTTTGCAGTGTGAGGGCTGTGCTGGAAATAATGAGCTATTTAGGCTCCTATGCCCAAGATGGCATAGGACAGTTCATTTCAGCAAGTAACAGACTCTGGTTCATTCTGGGTAAATAACTGTTCTGTAGAAATGGATTTGACTATTCAATGAATAATTAAGACAGGACAAGATTACCCAAGTATTTACTACATCAGGCCAGTTGTCCAACAGTCTATGAACTGACTGCCACAAAGATTAGAGGTGTGTGGCTGAGTCCCCCTTTTATGGGAAGAAATATCTCTTCCAGTCTCTAGTTCAGCAGAATAGTGGAGATCAGCTCAAATGTAAGCATAAAAATGGTCCCAATAATGTTCCTCATTCTCCCTGTGCTAAGTTAACCTAGTGCCTCAGTGCATGCTGGATGTGGCCCAAGCTGTAAATGAATAATCATATAAAGATGAAGGCAGAAAAGCTGTATGAAGTCCCAGTACCAAAACTACTGCCAAAACAGAAGTCACCCTCAGAAAAACAGGCCCTGGTGAAGGGGGCTGGGAGATGGGATTTTCTACAGTCCTGAACAGGCAGAGCACTGTGAGCAGTGAGGAGGGACAGCCACGCTGGTTGCTGACATCTGTAAAGCAGGGGCAGAGGTGGGCAGTGCTCAGAGAAGGAAAGCCTGAGCATGTAGGATGTTTCCTTTGGCTTTAGGTAACGCCCTGGTGCCTTCTGATGTGCTCACTCTATACCCTAGCTGTGATTAAGTGGGATGAATAAGTTCTATACGAGGTGTCCAGAATAGCTCCTGGTCCCTTGCCAAGGCCTTACCTCACCCCATCGGAGCCTATCTGCAGCCAACAGTTGCCTGGGCAAATTCCAGTGGGGCAAAATCAGCACACTTTGAATTAACAAAGTGACAAAGGCAGGCTTCTCACAGCCCTCTGGGAGCCAGCATTGGATGGTTTGGAAATAACATAACCAGTTGGCTGCAACCTGGAGTAGTGGAGAAATCATCACATATTGCTTTCTTGACCACATCTCTGTTCTCACTTCATATTTACGTTCCCAGAAAAAACACCAATCAATCCTGTTAAGAAAGGAGAGGTAGCTGGATGACTCTGGAGTATGTGTATTTCAGAAAAAGAGGGAGGGAGAGACACTGTGATCTGACTATGCAGAACCAGAGAAACTGGCTTACAAGCAGTAATGCTTTTCAGTTATTTGGTTGAGTATTTAAAGAAAAGGAAGGACTGTTCTGTATTGCTTGTGGAACTTTGAGTTTGCTGCTCACTGAGAGTTCATAATGGCAAATAGTATTAAAAAAAAACAAACTACCAGAGAAATTGTCCCACCCTTAGCTTCGACAAAGGTTTGCATTTGACATGAATATAAATTTTTCACAGTTTTGAACTGGGATCCAAGTCATGAATTCCACAGCTTTAGAGAGGCAATGCTGTCTGCCTGGCTTCCTGGTATGCATGTTCAGAAGGCAAATACTTAGGACTTCTTCATAGCTCTAATAAGCCCTGGGAACTCTGACAAGGGAAGGAAGAAGTTCCCAGCTCCATCTTTATGGTCTGGAGTCAAACTGCCACTGAAATCAAGACTCACTCTTGAGGAGAGGGAAGACAGAGCGGGCTCTTTCCCTGTCAACACAGCCAGTTCTCCTTCCCTCTGGCAGTCAGCAATAGGACTGACTGCCCCAGTCTGCCCTGCACCTACTCCAGACATCCTTCCAGATAACTTACAGCCTTGAAGTCGGTATACAAATGCCACTATGGATTGGACTGGCTGGCATGATTGCATATGGTCATCAGAATCCTGGTAGCTAACTTGTGAAGCAGTCCCACAGTGAGCAGGCCAAACATCATGGTGGTCTGCTATCACAGGATACTAGAGCCTACCCCCAAAAAACACTCAGGCCTTTTAATCCGAAGTATTGCCTATTTACTCCCATGTAGAGGTCAGGGCAAACAAACAGCACTGACTTCTTTGTTTGGAGCCCACTCTGATCTAAAGTAGTTTGGGGGTGCCAGGATCTGCAGAGCTGACACAGCTCCATGGTGCAGTCCCAGCTGCAGGAGCAGCTGGAGTGCAGTGTGGTAGCTGAGGCACCTGTGGTAGCTTGCTGACAAGTGGAAGGCTGAGAGGCACGTCCCACTGTCCTGGGGAATGCTTGCTACACAGGTATTTGTATCCCCAGGAGAAATGCCTGGGGAGCTGATTAAGCTGACTGGTAGAATTTTATGCTCTTAGGGCAAGTGTTTAACACCTGGTTTCCATAGAGTTGTGAAGCAGAAAATCAGGATGAGAGCACGTAGCTGATGTCAGAGATGAGTCTGCCCTCGGAGTCTACACTTCAAGTGGCTGTACCACCTGAAAGACACTTGAAACACCATTTTGATCCATAGCTCTCTCTCACATGTCAGGGTTTCCTTCTCGCTTAGCCCCACAAACCAGACCTCTCTCACCACTTTTCCTTCTCCCCACAGGATAGTTGGCGGGGACCAGACTGGCCCACGGTCCCAGCGTTCCCCTTCTCCAGGGCAGCGAGTGCTCTCCCCCCCATCCCTGCTCAGCCCCCCAGCACAGTCACTCAGCTCTGAACCAGCAGGAGCCCCGGCCACCACACAGCCCTCGCAGCCACGGAGGTCACAGAGGCACCTGGAGAGCCTCACCTCCCCCCCAGACAGTGAGGCCTACTATGGGGAGACGGACAGCGATGCCGACAACGTGGCCCAGGAGAAGCACCGCCGGGCTCGCAAGAAGAGCCCACGCTCCCCACCTGACAGCACCGCCAGCAAGGCGGATGAACCTCCGGATGAGGTGTCCCTGTCTGAACAGAGCGGCTACGAGAGCATGCCAGAGGCTGCTGTGCAGGGGGGAGCAGAGGTGCCCAGCTCCAGCGGGGTGGCCAAGAGGGAGATTGTCTGCCTGCCTGGCAGCCGCACAGACACTCCATTCTCAGACAGCGAGGGACAGCTGCGGCCACCATCAACAGAGGGACGGGAGCCTTCTCCAGAGGCAATGCTCCTGCCCCATGCCACCAAGGCTATCCGAGCGGAACGCCATCTCATCCCTATGGTGGGGCCAGTGGAACATCCGATTGATGAAGACCTAACCACCACATATACAGAGAAAGCCAAGCAGGCCAGTAAGTCCTCTGCACCCTGCCACTCACTCATGCCCTTTTCTTATGCTGGATCTCCTTCCAAAAGCCTAATTCCTGCAAATATCAAGTGGGTTAGCTCCTCTAGCTTGCAAAGAAGCAGAGTCGAATCAGACCTGCAGAGACCAGGGCTTCCTATTGCAGTCGGGTCTACCTCACCCAAGAGGTCCCAATGAACAGATAAGAGAAAGAGTCTGGGTCTGGGATCTGGGAGTCACTCATAGAAGCTGCAGCCATGCAACCAGCTGTGGCTCTAGCACCCTGTTCAGCTCAGTTCTCCATGGGAACAGAGCCATGTAGTATTACACATGAGTAAGAACTGATGAGATAATTTTTCAGTCAGCATAGCCCTAAAAGAGTCTTGTCAGTAAGTCATTCACTTCTCTCACCCTGTCAGGGAGCTCAGGGAGGGACTTGTCTCCATAGACTTTTGGAGAATGTTTTCTCTGCAGGCACTCACTCCAGCAAGGGTGTCCATGTCTGGCAGCAGCTGGTGAACTCTGCTAGAACTGGGTATTGGCAGAGAAGGGTTGCCAGCAAGGATAGGTAGGAGCTGCTAAATCAGCTCTTGAGACAGTTCCTTGTAGTGCAATCCCTGATAGTCAAGATCTTTCCATGTGGAATAAAGTACTGAAAAATGTAGTGTAGTATATGGGTGACAAACCTGAAATGACCTTAATTGTGAATATCTTTCCTGGTTTCTGCTACACATGGAGTATTTCAATGCCAAACATGAAGGTAGAACAAGACGTTACCTGATTTCACAGTTGTGATCTATCCAATAATATTAAAAACAAGGTGATCAAAAACTTATTTTCGTATGAGTACCTCAGTGTGTAGTATGATTGACTAATTTACCCTTCTCTGAGCCTAGAAAAAAAGCAAGTTTTAAAGAAGTAGTTTAGCTGGGGGACAGAATACAAAACAGAGACACAAAAATTGCTGGACTCAATCAGAAATAAAGCACATGGATTCTAACTTCTGATTCTCTGCTTCAAATGCTAGACATTTTTACCCAGACCCAAGCAATTATAAAGCCTCTATTTTATCTTTTCCTTGGGCTAAACATTCCTTTATCTGTTCTGCCTAAGGGATCCTCTAGAGGTAACTTTCAAACCTAGGTGCTTCCATCAGGCAGGGCGCTGTCTTCCTGCTTTTCCCAGCATTGAGAGGACAGACTCAGTTGGGTCCCTTATGTCTGGCCCTGCTAGGCAGTGTAATCGACCTGATGCCTTGTAGTATTTCTTCCTAGTCTCTACCACTCATTTTCCTTAGGACAAGAAAGTAGCAATTTCAGCCTCCCTGAAGATGAAGTTATTTTTTCCCCCTTTGAATAATGTACAAGCATGAGGTGAATGTTGAGAAAGGCATGTTCAGCTGCTCCCTGCCACCTGATAGTCCTAACAGTGGATGAGCAACTGCTTTACATCAAGACTTATTTCCACGGACAGCATGAGTACAGAAGGATCTCAGGAAAGCTATGTATTTAATTCAGAGCATTTCTGATGGCAAAATAATATCCCATGGCAGGAGGTGATGCAATAATATTTCCAGCTAGAGCTAGGGTTCCCAGAAGCACTGCAGACTGAGATAATATTTTATTCTCCTGTTACTCCCCCACTGCTCATCCCCTTTCTGGTTTATGTTTGGCCATGGGTGTCCTTATGTAAGAGTTACTCTGCCATGGATGGCAACTCACACAGCCAACTTGGTCTTTTCTTGGGTTAGGGATCTTGGCAGTAAATGAGAAGGCACAACTCTACATCCTGATCATGCTGGAGCACAGCAGCCATTAAAACAAAAGTCAGGTACATGAGCCAGTAACTCTGTGAAGGAAGGAAGCAAGGAAGAAATATGGAAGGTGTTCATTAGATGGTGAACAGAGCTAAGGAACACCTATACCTGGAATAAACCCAGGTATAAACACAAGAGGTTGTGGGACTGCTGACCTGCATTGGCTCCATGGGGAGGCTGCTTGCAGAGAAGCTACTCATTGGCATGGGAGGCACATGGTAGAGCTCACTTATTTATACTAGGCAAGGATTTGACTCCATGAGCAGAACACAGTGTGGTGGCAAGTACTAACAGCCCAAAATCAGGATTTGGTGGTGAGAGGGGTGGAGCAAAATCAGCACAGGAAAGAGGGGGCAGCAGCTGCTGGTGCCACTGTGTAATGCCCTGCATGTCATCAACTGCTGAACTGTGCTTTTTCATTCCCAGCAAAGACACAGTGTCTGGGAGGTCCTTAGACAGCCAACACCCTTGCAGTGAAGTTTGGGCCTCTCTTTTTCCAAACTTCATGCTGTATTTGCACATTGGTACTGGTTCATTTTTTCCAACCTATGGGATAAGCGTGTACATCATCCGAGCCCTCCACAGGACACGTGACTTAGACATGCCTGCTCAAAAACCACTCAGAGCATTGCTGGTACAGACCACTGGGGCACTCTGGGGAGCCACACACCACCCAAATGTGGGGGAACTTGTTGCACAAGTAAAAGGACTTCACTCTTCATCACTACCCAGTGGCTACCATGCACTCTGGTGTTCTAATCAGTGGGGTAAGAGAATGGCCAGCAAACAGGGACTCTTTGCTTTATTTTAAATGAACTACAGAACAGTCATATTTGTGAATAGCCAATATTTTGCCTAATCTGTAGAAACAAAAGTACAAATTTGTTTCCTTCCCACTAAAACTGTAACTTGCTCTCTTTAAAGAGGTGATTAATCCCTGGGGAAACTGGGGATCTTTAGGGCCTCAGTTTGTCATCACTGTACAGGGCAAAACTATGTCCCTTCCTGAAATTATTTATGTGCCACTTGGACAGTGCAGAAGAAAAGGAAGAGAAAACAAGACAGAAAATACTAATTAAAAATCTGAATCAGTTTCAAAAGGTTAGCAGAAAGTGGGAGCTCGTGGCAGGGAGAATCAGATTACAGTTGTCACAAGTAGTTGCTAGTGAGGTTCTTTGTTTCCCTTAGCTCCTGCAGTGCCCTTCTCACCCCACCCTCAGAGGCTCAGGATCCATCTGTAGCCAGGGTTGCTTCTTCTCAGCCACCTGTGCTCTCTAAGATGCACTGTATTTTCACCCCCACCGTAAATCATCTCACAGGACAAAGGGCTCAGCCTTTCTCACCACTGAAAATACCAATTGCTGGTAGAAGACAGACATACCAGGACAGCAGTCTATTCCTAACTTGCTATCACACTGTGTCAGTGCAAGAAGTGCTTCAAAATATCTCAATTTAAACTTATCCTCTGGACTATTTTTAGTTCCTAGGACTCAAGAGCCTCTCCATGTATGGTAGGGGAAGGGAGGGAAAAATGGGTGGGGAAATTTCCTCCTCTGCTTTATATGGGCCTGGCTGCCTGTGCAGAGTCATCAAAGATACTACATTCCATATCAGAAAAGGAAATCCTTCTTCTTTAAAGCGGATGTACAGCAGCATCACTTGAAAAGACAGGGTGCTTATAAATAAGTGGCCTATTCATCAGAGGGTCATATAGATTAACTCTTCTAAGAGTGACTGCAGTCACATTTCTCTGCAGAGAGGGTGAGCACAGCAAGCCATCTCTCCACCTATTACAATCTGTATAGGCCACAGGAGCCATGAACAAGATGAAGTTCCTGAATGGCAGTTTGAACTTACTGCACCACATTTTCTACTTGGCTTTCAGCTTTGACAGTTGTGACTCTAATGATCACATTTATGTGGTTGTTAGACTAACTTCCTGGTTTTGCCATTCACTGCAGTCTAGGAGACCAAAAGATTCAGGATAGTAGTCAACTGACCTGATCCTACCTGCTTTAAAGTAAAATAGAAAAGCGTTCTGCTCAGACCAGGAGATTAAAATTAATTGCCTGAACTACTGATCTTACAGAAAGTCTGTTCCTAGCAGTATGAAGCAATGCTGAATCACCCTTGGCCCTTGCTACTCAGTGAGCAGCCAGCCACTAGGAAAACAAGGACAACAGCTTCCATAGTTGAACAACAGATGGAGAGTCTGATCTCACTTCAGCACACATTAAACTGGAAATTGCATCTACTTAGGAAATCAGTTTACATACAGTGCTGCAGCCTAGTTGTAGGTGTTTGCTTAAGAATACCCCACTTAATAACTAACATTCAGCTTTGAATTCTCTGCCACTTGGAAGGCATTTATTAAAGAAGACCACAGTGAGATAAACTCTGGGCATCTAGAGCCCTCTTTCTCTACTTTTAGGCTTGAGTATGACATTTGGGCTTACGCCTTCAGTTTATGCTCCTCTATCGAAAGCACAGAGGTGATATTGTCAGGCTGATATACCAACGGTTTGGGCAGAAGATAGAGACTATAAACTAGTGTTGCCCATCTTGGCTAGTCTAGTTGAACTCTTCCTTCTTTCTTGAACCACCTCAAAATTTGTCACAAGTAACTGGCCCTCTTCCTTGGGTGTTCTTACTGGAGACCTCCAGCATTGTTCCATCGGGCATCACTCTTGTCCAGCATTTCAGTGAGGATCCTGTGGGTTGTAGCACTGGAAGTGAGGCAGATAGAGCTCTGCTCTGCTCCACCTTTGTACCTCACTGCTATCCTGCTGCCCCAGAGCCGTACAGAGACATGGATTTAGCTGAAAATATATTAACTCAAAATAAACTTAGCTGCATATAATATTCTCTGGGAGGTGAAAGATCTTTAGTATTTGAAGATGTATGGAGGAAAATTATATGATCCCCAAAATGTAAAGGTATATAGTCTCTTTTGTCCTAGTATTTCCACCTTATGAGATGTCATTTGGGGTATCTTTATCAGACATTATTATTGTCAGCGCAGGGACTCTGGGTCACAGTTCCTCAAACATGATTGGGAATCATTCATCCTCCTTCTGCTGGTGAAAAGTGTCAGCAGTTCTCTTCCAAGCTCACACTTCCATGGCCCTTGCAGAGCCCCACACTGTGCTGCCACATACATTCAGTTAACATAGCCTGTCCTTGCGTGTGCA